TCAAGTGCTGAACAAATAGGGTCGTTAAGATTCGAACACATGATCTCTCGGTCAAACATTTTCAATTAGAAATGCCCTAAATGGCTAAATTTCATTCTCAATGAACTATTATAATAATTTACTCTTTTCGTAGGAGCCACCCGTTATACTCTCCCTACCCCTAATTGAAATAAAATTATTTTTACAAACTAGCTATGATTTGGTGAAAATATGTGGTAGATATTGAATAAGTACATCTTTAATTTTGGGCAGATCATATACACCATTGCCATTTGTAGAAAGCTCGTTATAAAAAGATTGAGCATGTCGATACACAACTTATAAATCAAACATCATACATCTAAAAGTTCAACCATTCTCATTTAATACGTGTTATTTTTCATACTCGATTAACTATTATATCTAATTTAACATTTTTGCTCCCGAGCCAGGGTGGGTCCCGGGACATACCCTTTAACACTCTCCCTCCGCCCCTGCTCGTGAGTGAAGGCAGTTAGTGTGTGCGCTATAGGCTAAATAAGATGTAACTGACTCTGTGTGACCCGTCACTAAAGGGTCAACTTATGTACCCGTCTCGTCCTTGTTTCTTTCTTGATCTTGTCTGACCTTCTAGGATGAGGGTGGGCTGGGTCAGTGGATATATCGGGTCAAATCAACACATTGCTTTTTTAAAAATTATATTTTTTTACCCAAATTTATTTTTCTTACATTTTAGTACCTAATTTTTTTACAAATAAGTCCAAATATTTTGATGGTAAATTATATTTTAGTACTTATATACTTTTCACTTTGCATTATATCTAAAATTTTATAAACATGTCCAACGTGTTTGTATAAGAAATTTCATACATTCTTTGAGTTACAAGATCAAAAAGCGTCTACCCCTACATTGACTTGACCCAACGCTTGCAGAGTCAAAAGATTACCCGACTCTAAACTGATCCAACCCGATCCTTAAAGTCGAACGGATTGGTTGGCCTCGAGAGCCAAGCTTACACCCTAGTTAGAGCTGAGATTTGCGTGGTAGAGTGATAGTTCATCCCCCATTTTGTCATACTTCCACTCCTTAGTCATCCAACATAGAAGGGATGAGCCTTCATTAATTTTCATCGTTGATTTACTGACACCTTGACGTTTTAATTGTTTTATTAACCTTAAAGATTCCATTACGTCCAATCCCACAGAGATTATTCACATCCCAACAACAAAAATCTGCTAAATTAAGCCAATCTTTGCTGGTTGTTAATGTTGAAAGCAAAAAAGGCCATTTTTGATAGACATCCCTTTGTTGTCTCTCACCCTCCCCACCACCCATCATTCTCCAAAAGCCATGTCAGCCTGATGATGTCCCATTTATGCTCCCTCCCTCCCTCCCTCCCCCTTTTTATAACCCCTTTGATCATCCAAAACCTACTTTCTCTATCCTTCAACTCCAGCAAAACCAAGAACCCACATACAGAAAAGAAGAACAAGGAGAAAGAGAGAGAGATGGGATTGAAACACAGGTTTAGATTGTCAGACATGATCCCAAATGCATGGTTTTACAAGCTCAAAGACATGAGCAAATCCATCCCCACAACCACACACCATTCCTCCAATCACAAGAAGAAAAGGCCCCCTAATTCCACAGTAGCAGCAGCAGCCACAAGGGCTCCACAGCAGCCAAGGTACTCTTCCTACTTGTCAGGGAAACCGGGCAGAGCTACCAACAACCATCATCATTATCAGCATCACAAGCTGTACAATTCACCTGTGAACCAGAAGGCATCAGACACTCAGTTTCCTGATCCGCCTAGGAGAAGCAGCAGGAGGAGGAAGGCTGTCTACAAGCCTTCTCCTAAGCTGCTCTCCTCCTCTTCTTCATCGTCAGTTTGCAGCAAATGCCGTGACAACAACAGTAATAACCCCACTCTGCTCCATTCCCCTGGCTACTCCACCTCTCCATTTGAGTCTTCCCCTGACTTCTGTGGCTCTATTCTAACCGAATCCGACGATGAAGATGATGATCTCGCCTCGTCTTTCGCCCGACCTCCTAGGTCATTTGACGATCAGGTGGTTTCAGCTGCATGGTCTACATCATGTCACTCATGTAAGCTCAGCTCCTCCACGGCTGACATCATCATCGATGTGAATAGGCATTCACTTGAAAGGAACAACATCAACAAGGTTGATATTCATGAGCTGGAGAAGCTTCCTCCCATTGTTACAAAGCCATCTAGAATGGATCATGTGAAAGCACAAAGGTCTGTTTCTGATCAAAAGAAAAGGACCAAGTCTAGTCCTTCTCCGCGAAAATCCACATCGAATAAGAAGTACTCTGCCACGGGGATAAGGCTGAAGGCCAACTCGCCGAGGAGGCTTGCAAGCAGGAAAGTTCAGGGCAGTAGGAAGAGTACTGCTGTCACATCATGCTTATCAGCAGTAGCAGCAGGGAACAGGATTGGAGAGAGCTTTGCAGTGGTGAAGAAGTCGGTTGATCCGGAGAGAGACTTCATGGAATCCATGGTGGAAATGATAGTGGAGAATGGAATCAGGGGTTCAAGGGAGCTTGAGGATCTTCTTGCTTGTTACCTCTCCCTCAATTCAACCAAGTACCATGATGTTATAGTCAGGGCATTTGAACAAATCTGGTTTCACATGTCTTAACAATGAAAATAGTCCTTGTACAAGTAAGATGTATGTATGAATGTATGTAAGATAGATGGATAGTACCAACTTTCCTTATGTTCTTATGGCAATGAAAAGCAGGCTACTTTCTTATGGGCATGAGAAAAAGTAGTGAACTTTGTGAAGGCCAATGGTTTTTTAAAATGAGGGTTTCAATTATTTGTCATTATTAATCAGATGCATGAGCCTGAGGTTTTTGAGTGATGGAGGCTAAAAGACAGCAGCAATAAGCAGCAGGTAACTTGGCCTGTTACCATGCCTCCAAAGTATTAAGCAATCACCTTAGAACTAGTGAACTACACACCATATAGAGTTAGTTGTTCTCAGTAGACCCTCCCACACGCTTCATCATATCCTTTGCTTTGCTGCATTCTCATTATTAATTCCATAACTTAAAAAAGAAGGGCAAGAGTCATAAAACAAACACCACAATGGCCTTGCTCGGTCCTAAAGGCCTAAACTATGGAAAGTGGACTCAACCCACTTTACTATATGCTTTTGATTACACTTCCAAATTTCTGAAAAATGCGAAGATTTTTTGGTTTCTCCAGCCAAAGATTCATTCATTTTCTTTACCATGCACAGTTGCAGATAGAAGGATGACTTTGCCAGTGGTTTCTTACTCTTTTTTTTTTTGTTCCTATATCACCATTCCATTCCTTTCCGCCCACAGCTCAATTCCAACCAAAATCTCTCCCAAAACCCATGAGAAATTGCTATCACACAGAAACAGAGCCAACTCTGGATTCCACATGTACCCTAATGGGGTTTTAGGACAGGACCACATCCTACATGATGACACCATTGCCCACCAATATTGTGACCATTTTAGGAAACCCTTTTTCCAGCTTAATATATAGTGCTGTTTCACCCTTCACACCACCAGCACTAGCCTTTTAACTTAGGACCACCAACAATTTACTTGATTCCTTTCTTCAATGAATGGCTCTCCTTCACAAGTTTAGATGCATTTATATATGAAGCTAGGATAGGGGTATATCCTTAGATGCATGTATAAATCTAGTAAACTGCCAATTTCTGTGATGGGTTTGCATCTGATAGCTGTTTTAGGTTAGTTTTAGCAAGCATTGGGGGATTTCTAAATCTGGGTATGTCATTGACTGATGCATCTGCTCACAATTACAGAGAAATGCAGAGCTAGGGAAGCTGACTTCATATGTTTTGATGTGAAAGTGAAACACCACTGAATTTGTGATTCATGGGTATGGTGGTTTTAGTCAATCATAACATCAGAATTTGGGATCTGTCCACAAAAAACCCATAATAGCTGAATTATGTGGAAAGTGACTTATCTTCTTCTCATAAGATAAGGATCAGCTGCTATGTCCACACCAAGAGCCTTGATATGTGACACAGACTACCAGAGCTGTAGCTCCTAAGAAAATGGATTTTAAGACTGCAATAATTATCAGAAGGACCACAAGCTAAAGCTAGGTTTAGCTGGGTCAATTTCTCCCCTTAGGTTGCCATGCTTTTGTAATTTCCACTTCATCAATCAGCCTTACTCAATTCTCATGCATCCAAGGTCTTAAATATCATCAACTGCATGGATTAGACGATACAGAATTCTTAATTATGAACTAACAAAGATACTTTCTGCATAGCTGTCAGCCTGTCACTTCTTTTTTCTTTTGAACATAATAGCTGTTTTGCTGCTAAAACAGTAGTAACTTCGATACCTGGACTTTCAGCAAGTTAAATTCTTTTACCCATTTTATTGGACTTGATTTCCCTGGTCTAGACAAAGTGAAAGCAAGCCACCTGGGAGAGAGCAAAGAGCATCCTTCATAACTCAAGGCAACTTATGGTTGCTGCAACATGGTACAAAGACCTCTACAGTGAGGACTTGGTTTCTTTTTGCAATTCTGTTCATTAAAGGCAGAGCATGATACTATTGACTGTGTTTCAGTCTGGTTTCTGTGAGCTTTGTTTCCATCTCACACTACACAAATGAAGCAATTTGTTTAAGTTTCGCTGCATACCAAGGAAAAACCTGGTCAAAAAGACTTGCAGAAGGTTTTGGGATCTTCTTCTTGCCTTCTCAGAATATTGTGTCAACTTTGAACACAGCCAAAAAAGGGAGGCGGATCCTGCTTTAACGCCTTCCTTTGCCAGGTGTTATATTATACAAGGTGAATAGAGCCACTTATGAGGCTAATTTGAGAAAGAAACAACATTTTGGCAAAGAAAGGAAGGTAACATGCACAGGGAAAGACAAACACGAGAATGGAAACAAGGCATATGCAAACAGTTAATGCTAGCCTTATTGTCAAAACTGGAGTTTTTTCTGTGCTTGCCTAACATGGCATGACATCTGGCAATTTGTAAAACGGTGAACAGAAGTACATTCATGAAATTAGCAACCTGGTGATAAAATTAGATTACCAAACTGGATGGTAAGAGTTCTTCCTTGTTTCAGAAGGCTGGATCGTATGGAAAATTCATGATACTCCACGCTCATTCATATGGGAGATGAAAGGTGAAAACTTTATTGCAAGCCACAACGTTTCACAAACATACTACATATACATATTCACACCCCCTATTTTAATATCTACACATCACCTGATTGATGCTGTCAGAAAGCCAGGTGATTGCTTTGTTCCCCCTACTTGTCAGAAGCAACTTTATGATCAACATCCTTGTGATCGATCAGTTTCTTCTCCTTGACTGTCTTTCAGAAACATCAGGAGGAGGTCCCTGGAAACCAATATTTTCAACGGCTCCAACTGTATTGAACAGTCGCCTCTTGGTAACCTCTTCTACTAATGACCGGTGCAGCAACTGGCTGTGAACGTCAACTAGCGACTGGTTCCTCGTCAAGCTGGTCCTTCTGTCTCCAGAGCCATGACCTCCATGGTGTTGGTGTTGCGACTCGAGCAACGACATGCAGTTTTTGTATGCAGTTCTAGCTAGTGCTTGCCCCTCAGACTTCGAATTTCCTGTTGGACAAAATCTTCTTGAGTTGTGAGTTTTTGACACGATGGGATGTTTATCTCTCCTTGTGCTCGTATGATCATCATCATCACAAGTGTAAGTTAAGATGGAATGTGATGATCCTGACTGTGAAGAGCTTTGCGAGCTGGCATCATCATAGTACAAGTTATCTGCAACAGCAATTGTTTCCAATTGATATTGCAGGATTTGAAAATGTAATATGACCTACTTGTGGTCTAAAAAAAAAGTATTTGAATGCAGATTTTCCATAAAAATCCTTCATCAGTCTTACTCTCTGCCTACTCAAGCATAATGCATACAACCTTCCTTTTGTTTATTCATCTAGAAGAACGAATAAATATTCTTGGTTTAACTGCAACCAGTGGTTACTGAACAATTCTTGTAGTTTCGACCATGTCACTAATTTACTACTAGTACCAAATTTTTTTTTTTTTGATAATGTACTACTAGTAGCAAATTTCGTAAGTAAACTATGAACCTTGTTCTATATAGGGGATAAACAGGTTCAAGCTATCATTAAATAGGTTCAAGCTATCATGAAACTATGCATTAAGGTCCAAATTAGCATTTACATTTCACTTTCTTTCTGGGAAAATAGAAGTTATGGTACAAACTTTTTACAGGCTCATAGCCCATAGGAGAGTGCTTAAGGCCATGAAAACAGCCTCTTTCCAATTTCCAGGAAATGTATTAATTTAGATTTTCTGAAATAAGATTCATTATACCAGCATTTTATTAGGAAATTTCAGAATCACACAATTGAAAAGAACCCAGAAAAAAAGTAACCAACTCCAACATCAAAGAAGTTCAGTGGTCAGAAATATACCTTGTAGCCAAAGGGTTGTACCCATGAATGATGATGACTGGGAGGATGAATATGACGAGGAAGAGTTATAAGCATGACTATGCTCATCATAATCACACTTCTGATGTCTATTATTGCCTTCATAATCAGAGTGTTCCCAGTCTGGCACCAGAGCTGAAATCTCTTGATCAATCATTCCAGCAATTTCAGATGGTTCCCAATCAACAATGTCAAGCTCTTTCACCATCTCCGTTGCAACATCCATCGGAGTATCATGTAGTATATCAAACGGAAAGAACACATTTCGAGCAGAACCTGCAAGAAAACGAAACATGAAGTCATCATAAAACCAGTATAATCATCAAACAAGACATGAGTAGATGTATGGCAATGGGTTCCATTTGAGTATTTGGGTTGAACCTAAATGCTCTTACATTTATTTAGTGATTAGGATGGGATCTAATTAAGGTCAGGCTCATTTGGATCCGCACTTGTATGACCATAATAACAACCACATCAGGATACTTGATTGATAATCATCTCAAAGACAAATTAAGTACACCGGTAAAAAGATCAAACCTACAATGAATAATTAAATGGGTATCCATAGTTTCATGGATAAAGAACATAGTGGATATCCATTGAAATTGGATCAGACCCACCACCATCCAATTCAACCCATATCAGTTGGATTGGATTGCATAACCAACATTTGAGTTCTTTGTCATCCCCGAGTAGACTAGCTTGGGTGTGCAAAAAAGTGAAGCACAAAAGCTAGCATTAGAAATATACCATCTTTGTTGACAATCTGCACTTTAAGAAAGATTGTATCATCTTCCGGGTTCAATTTCCCTGTGATTTTCATTTCTGTCCTAGGTGGGTCATCATCCTCCTCCAATTGCAGTTTATTCAGTTCTCCATTACTCAGGAAAGGTTTAGGACTTTCAATCCCTTTAATAACAGGTTCTGGTGCCAGAAAAGGATCCAACAATAGATCTTTTGCCGATACTCTATTTGAAGCAGCAACTAAGCATTTCCCAATGAATCTCTGTGCTTCCAAGTCATTGAGCCTATAGTATGATGCTGGTAGCTTTCCCTGCGTCAAGAAGGTGCCATACATGGTAAGCCTAGTTACCAAACAATAAACAAACTGAATAAAGTGACAAAAAAGGAGACATACTGAGGTCACTTTCTTGTATATCTGTGCTGGATTACCGCATTCACTATAAGGGTATTCAGCTGTCATCATCTCCAAAACACACATCCCAAATGAGTAGACATCAACTAGCTCGTTGTAATCTTCTTCATATAATTCCGGAGCCATGAACTCTGGTGTGCCTAGTAATTGTTTCAATGTTAAGAACTTCGTAACAACATGCACAAAAAAGGATGCTACTTTAAAGCATCATTCCCTTCTTTCCATAAGGGAGAGAAGCAAGTACCTATTACACTGTGAGCTGATTGGCAGTCCCTGAGAACAGCTGCAAGGCCCAAATCACCAATCTTGACTTGTCCAAGATGACCATTTACAAAAATGTTGTCACATTTCAGGTCTCTATGAATTACTGGAGGATCATGGCTATGTAGATACACAAGGCCCTGTAAGATTTGTCGAGCCCATCTCTTAATCGCTCGCATGCTCACTTGCTGGTATTTCCTCCTGTACCTGCATGTCAGGTTGAGCAGACAGTCATATAAAACCATGTCTGCCAGAATGTGATCCTTAAAGCAACGGAGTGAGAATATCATTACTCTCTCAGAGTCCCAGAGGTGAACATCTCAGTGATGAAGTTGAAAGTCCTGTGACGAGTATCGATCCACGAAGTATAGAACCGAATGATGGAAGGATGGTTTAGGGTACTGAGAAGATGAACTTCAGAGTAGAGCCTCTCCAGATCATCTGGCCTGCGAAGCACGTCATTGAGTTTGATCTGGTTCCATGCTACTTCCAATCCAAGGAACTCATCAATTGCCTTGTATACCTTTTTCATTGCTCCTTTACCAAGTACTTCATTGAACTGTCCTCCAAAAACCACAATCAGTAATCTTTATCACATTCAACTCTTCAACAATGCTCAGCCTGGTTAATCCAATTTAATCAACCCATCTCTTTCTACAGCAAAAGCTTCATTAAAATATTCATTAAGAGCAGAAAGGAAAGGTCAGAATCCAAAAATAAGTACAAAACTATCGTGGATCACTAGGATATACTATTTTATACACTTAGATGTCGTGATGTAATCCAACTTGGGTCCATCAATAATTAAGAACCCAGTAAAGAGTTGACCATCTCTAGTTTAATAGGAAAAATCAGTGTCACCAGAAGTTGGTAGACCCAAGAAAACAAAAACTAAATAGCTCTATCTACAACATTGGCTTGGCGGCAACCGAGTACAGGCGGCCGTTGAACATAGATTCTTTAGATAGAGCTTGAGAAACAGGACAAAAACAACAAGAACATAGCCAGACCAAAAACCATTTACTCCCAAATAAATAACCAATTTGAAATTCTACGCTGGAGATAAGCACAAAGATGCATGCAAACGGATAATTTTCAAGTTGTTCATATCCTTATCGGCATCACGAAAATGAAGAAACACTACTCACCCGTCCATAACGCCCGGTGGGATCGGTCTCGACATAGCCCTGATCCGCGGCTGGGCGGCCACGGCCGTCGTTGGCGAGGTTAACAGCTGTCTTGCCGTTCATGGTTTAAAATTTCAAACAACTCGAAAAACTGACTCAAACTTTTGTAACTAAAGGCAATAACTTTACAATCGAGGAAGGAAAACAGAGTGAAGAAAGCAAACAGAGAGCTAGGGAAGAAGAGGGTTTTGAGTAGAGGGTTTGAAAAAATCAAACGATCCTCGGCTTCCCCTCGTGGTTTTCGTAGGAGAAGTGGCGAAAGAGGAGCCAGAAGAGGCGGGAGTAATCAATCCGAAGCAGAATCCAACCCGAGCCGGCCACCAACTCCTCCGCCGCACGCGAGAAGTGGGTGTACTCTGTTTTGGCAACCATTTGATGAGACCAGAGAGAAACAGAGTAGATAGGGTATCTCTCGCTTGATAGATTTTAAAACTGACAATCGCACCCCTCTCCTATAGGGTTTTACTTTTTCCCGTTTGAATCCCTGGTGAGTGGGGTAAGCGGGGAGGGAAGTGACAAGAATTCCAACACGGAAGTGAAAGAAAGGAAGGGAATTTTTTTGTGGGTCTGTTGTTATCTGGGCACTGTCTTTTTCGGTGGTGGGGTTTGAATCGAAAGGAAGAGAAGACAACTACAAAATCAGCTCTGTTTTAGGTGGAGAGGGAAAGAGACGAAGCTGGAGGTGGGATTCTGAACTTGAAGAACCTGTGGCTGCGCTTTGCTGGATGCATTTGCGTATGGACTGGGGAAATCAGAGGGGAAATCAGAGGGAGACAATCGATGATTCTGGAGAAGATGAAGATTGGGGAGATTTTCAACGGCAAGAAGAGAGGGGAAAACAAGGAAGGAAAGGGTTCTTTGGGAATATGGGATTTGGGAATACAGAGAGATATATAAGAAAAATGGGGAAACAGGGTAGGCAGTGGACTACTGGTGATGGCTGCAACGGCAGTAATGCAACAGCAAGCAGCTTACTCTGCCTCCTCAATAATGCCAAAACTAGGCAGGTGACATTCAAGTATCAACGAATTTCAAGCTCCCGGATTCCCATACTTTTACGGCCAACCACAGCCAGTTTGTTTTTGTTTTTATATTGTTTTTGGATAATCTGAGGGAGGAAGACAACTACGATACCAATTCGATACTAATACTAATAGCGGTTGACACAGACAACCAGTAATTTTTAGATATATGGCGTTAGAACAATTATAAACTAAGCAACTTGAAGTCAACTATCATGATGAAACAATGGAGGAGAAAGACATTAACATGTGATAAGACGAAGTTCTGACGATGGGGATGATATGTTCGTCCCAAATGTTTATCGCTTGGAGCAAACGAAGTTCTGACAATGGGGATGATATGTTCGTCCCAAATGTCCTTCGCTCGGAGTAATCTTATTTTTTATTTTGTTCATGATAGGCATTGAAAGCTTTTCTAACGTAGGTCATTGTTCAACTAATCTGACTCAAATCATTTCGAAATTTTTATTTTTATTTTGCCAATACTTTGAAGCGATCAGAAAACAATGTTATTAAGTGTCGTTTAATAACTTTTGCATAGTCTCAGTTCACTCACTGCCTAACTTTTCTTTTCAATTAAGACAAATTGAGCTTATAAGAAGGGCGTGACTCGTGAGTTATGCGATGCTACGAACCATTTTATCTGATTCCAACTTCGACAACTAAATTGTTGAGAGAATTGATCCGAAGCAATTAGAATTGTCAAGTGTAAATCGTTTCAATCAAACCACAATTTTTTTTTTATAGTGAAAATATGGTAGTTCAATTCGTATTATTTTCAATGAAAACAATTATTTAAAACCTAGAAATTGGACAAACACACAACACAAGTGGCAACTCGAATCACACAGGATATTTATAATTGGTGCATTGAATTTGTTATCCGAATGTTCTCCATTTAACAACTTTTATCCAAACGTGGATTTTGGATCCCCTGTTCTAAGTATTCAAAAGAAGTGTTACAGAGTCGGGTTTGTACAAAGAGGTTGATGATGGCCACATAAGGTTGGGAGACAGAGACAGAGACAGGCCCACCCACCACCAGGCCACTAGCCATTGGCCACCATAGATGACTCTCTTCCTCTGTTTTCTCTAGTTTACAGCAATTGGGTTGACGAAATTTACATGGCAACCTCAACACTGTGTGTACATTCTTTTAATCTGAAAGGACAAATCAAAACTGGCTCTTTCAACTTCAACTATGTGCAATTCTGCATGCAATTTTGGTCTGTGATTAGATTATGAGTGCACTGTTACGCAGGATGAAATGAGCAAAACAAATATGGTGAATGGACTTGAACCTTTCAACTATCGATCTATAAATCAGTTGCTTTCTGATCAAAACTCCGCCTACTCATCCTCTGTTGACCTGGTGATAAGGAGGCTAGATGCGAGTTATGCAAATGCACTCAGCCACCGTAGCTCGAGATTGGTAGAGGGAGGAAAAGGTCAAATCCCATTGGTTCACTGACGTAGCCAGGATTTTATGTAAGGTAAGTTCGATTTTTTTTTTATATTCACGTGGCTCATTGAAAACTTTCTTTCAACACTTGTAGTGTAGCCTTAGTTCGAGTCTAAAACCTGATATATTGAATTCATTATTAGGATAAAAAGGATCTAGTGAGTTACTGAGTTTCAACAAAAGGAGGCTTCGGCGATAGATAATGGATAAATTAAGGATTTGAAGCTTGGAAGATGAAGTTATATTTTGTGCTAATATTATTTATGTAGAAACTAAAATGTATTATATATAATGATGATAGCTAAATTCATGATATAATTATTGTTTGATGGTAGAAATATTGATCAATATTGATGAATTTTAGGTGAAAAATGTCACCGTCACTTAATTATTGTATTAAGGAGTGAAAAACCGTAGCGTACTGGTGGTTCGATCAAAAAATTCTCATACTGGAAGCGAAATTGATAGAAGATATTAGCCATATGAAATGGTTAAATCATATTTTCAGCATAAAATATCATACTGTTGACTTATCTGGTACAACCTTCTACCACTATTAACCTGAACATACATATTTTCTTCTGACCCACCTTGGCTATGCAGTATGCACCGCCACTGCCACCGGGTTCACTGATTCACAATTGGATTATGTATCTCCGTTGAAGCCGAGTGGCATCCTCGGCCAGAAAAGGCAGCAAAGCTAAGTCCAATGGCCTCAATTGAAGCTTCTCTAACAAAACAATGAAGGGCAGAATTATATGATGGGCAAAGCTACAATTAAAGAAGTACTAGTTAAATGGTTCGCGCAATTTGCGGCGAGTATGTTAATTTTTTTTTGGTGGAAAGTGGGTATGTTAATTTTAGGGTGGTGTGTTGTTTATTGAACTTCAAGTTACTAGTTGGTATGCTATAGTCCATAAAAAATTGCAGTGTTTATTGTCTTCTTGTCTTGCATTTGAGAATAGATTAAAGTATACAAAGTTGAGCATTCTTAACCTAGAGCGTCTGTTGGTTCTTAGTTTCATAGCAGGGTAATCACTGGTTAGAGACATGTTTAATATCACTCGATCTATATATATACTAGGTGGTGATGATGGGCATTGTCGCGGATGGAGATGGACTATAGGCATGTATTATGTGGCCCGTTATGGTGTTTTGTTATTATTATTAGTCTAAAATTAATTTTTTGTTAGCAGTTTTGTTAATAATATTTACTTGACAATATGATATTGACTAAGAAGAGATATATGGTGGTCAACATCCAATTAATTATTGTTTTTTTTTTTGAAAATTTGGACTAATAAATTATATTTACCTAAACCCAAGTAGACCCATTGATTATGGGTAGGGTATGAGTGATGTATATATGGTTTTGGAAGTTTGTAGATAGGTTTGGGTAGGGTATGAATATTTACTTTCATAATCTAAATGTGTATGAGTTGGTTATGGATACCCATTTATTCGAGTGTGTTTTAATTATAAATACAAAAATTAGAAATATTTGTAGAACTTCCAAATTTTAGGTACCAAAATATAATACACGAAAATTTTAGGTACTAAAATGTAATGTTCCATCAATATTTTGAGGACTTATATGCCAAAAAAAATTAGGTGATAAATCTAAAGATCTATTAATTTTAGGTATTGAACTATAATTTGCATAGTTGAGTCTTAATTCCTTTTATGGTGATGTATTTAAGAAGATATTTATTTATCTTTTTATAGAAAAATGAAAAATATTTATTTTATATGTTTAGATATCTAACCAAACATTCTATGTATAATTATTGAAAAATCTATCATGGGTGAAAAAGAAAAACTCTAGAGAGAAGCAAAAGGAATACAAACTGGAACTCGCTTATAATTTCACGCCTTCAAATCCCATAATGAAAAATGAAGAATTTCTAATAAGTAATAACCATATATATTTATTTTTAATTGGACTCAACATTGAAGCAAGAAAGTTAGTGGTTCATGATTCAATTATTAATTCTCTAGACGGACGATGAAGATAACTAATACAGTAAAAACCAAGGTTGTCAAACCGGTTTATACCGTTGTACCGGTTTGACAAGTGGAATGGTACGACCAGTGGTATAACCAGTTTGTGCCGGTTCATGCCGGTTTAAAAAAATGTGAAAACAATTAATATCCCATATACTTAATCATATATAAAACATATTTGTGGACAATTTAGTTACAATCCAACAAATATCATCAACTTTTAACTATTATATTCATAAAATGAATAATAAATGATTTTTTTATTCATTAAACTCATTAAAATGATGTCATTTTACTTAGAATGCGTAAGTCGATCATACCGGTCATACCGGTGATGTCATGCAGGTTTCATGACCAGCACAGGTTGAACCAGGTTCAACCGGGTGGCATGCCACCGGCATGACAACCATGGTAAAAACAGATCCATAACTGCCAAAAATCAACAACGTTAGTTACTTAGCTTGTCTAGAGAAATACTCACGTTTTTTTTTGAAGTAACAATCAGTCCGATTTTTACCGACCTTTGAATTTCCCGACATTAGGGAGCTCTTTAGCTAACCTCACTCACGCACCATGGTAATTTCCTTTGCTCGATCTCTATATAAACGACCCTTTAGAGAGTGCAAAAGCATCCAAAGATCTATCAAGCAAGAACTACAAAAGAGGTAGAATCCCAAAACTCGAGATTCATACCAATCTCGCTCATGTAGATCGACGGAAAGAAGTAACATCGAGATCGAATCGGTAGAAAGAAAGAGGGGGATCAGAAATTAAAGGAGGATGGCGAATGCAATATTGAACATGCTGGCTCATTGCGCATTCGGCATGAGCTCCAGCGTATCGATCCACGATACGGTGATCGAGAGAAGGCCGTACCATAAGAACTGTGAGTGTGCGCTTCACAAACTAAAATGTAACTGTTCTCATATTTCGTATGCACAGACGAACTTATCGTTTTCTTCTCACCAAAAGTTTTTCACCACTTTACTTTTCAAGTCTTGCTTTTCAATAGTAGATTTTAGAGATTTTTGCAAAACAACAAGCCGCTAGATAATGTTTCCAACAGTCGAAGTAGAGGTGCATGGGTCAGCCCAGATCGATATTTAAACATACTTACCCTATATTGCACTCATTTAAGGTTTATACTTGGACTTTAGGTGGGGTTTTATTGTGATAGTTGGGTTGAGTCAGTGGCGGATCCAGAAATTTTACATAGGGGTGTCCTCTCCTACAAATTTAATTAAATTAATAATTCAATAATTATTAAATAAGAAATATATGATATGTACAAAATAGAACAAAGCACATGACGTGTTTCGTATTTAGGAAAAATTATAAAATATAATCGATGTCTAACAATGCTCTACAAATCTATATCAACCCCTACATCCCAACAGACAATCACCTTACCCAGTTGTCAATAAACACGCGACAAAGCGCGCATCACCTTCTAGTTAATATATATAAAGATAAACCTAAATTACTAATACAAGAAGATGCTTCTGGTTTCTCTTCCTCTGTACAAGAACAAAGTTCCGCAGCAGCAACTTCTGTTCATCTCCCTTCCACTTTGGAAGACAATGATTTGGGCTCTTATTTCTCCATGTTGGGCTCGTGGCTACTAGAAGGAAATCAGCCCAATACCAAATGTCAAGACAATACAAAATATTAGCTAGCCCACGTGTGTGTCTGAGTGTTGTTCATGCTTTCTTCTGTCCTTTTGTCTGCTGCACAGAGTCTGATTGTATAAATGAACACTCAAGATGAAAATGCAAGCCATGCTTTCCACTTCACTTTTTTCTACTCGCATCATGGTATCAGAGCATACCTTTCTTTCTTTGAGTTTCTCAACTTCTTTCTCCTATTCTTCTTGAGCTTGCTGCTTTAAAATGGCAGCTACTGGCAAAAGTGCAGACGTTGATGATCCGCCCAAAACACCCAGAAAGGAGTATTTGTTTGCAGATCCCTACTACTTACATGGAGGTGAAAACCCTGCTGTTCTTTTGGTTCCTGAAAAGCTAAACCAAAACAACTACAGTGAATGGAGTAAGTATATGCTCAATTCTTTATCATCCCAGAACAAACTACCTTTCATAGATGGCTCTCTTTCCATGCAAGTCCCACAGATCCCATGTACCAGCCATGGATTAGCTGCAATACCATCGTTCTTGGCTGGATTACTTTTTCTGTTAGTGACAACATCAGGAAGAGTCTTTTGAACTTCAAGACTGCAGCTGAAGCTTGGAAAAACTTGAAAACACGATATGCTCAAGGTGACCTCATGAGGATCTCGGAACTGCAAGAAGAACTGTCCACTCTCAAGCAAGGTAATCGCACCATTTCAGAATACCATATCCACTTCATAGCTATTTGGAATGAGTCACTCAACTACCAGCCTTTACCTGATCGTGATTGTGGAGGAAGTCTGCATCTTGATTGCAAAGTTGTGCTGGTTTTGAGTGGTTACCAAGAAAGGAATATGATTATTCAATTCTTGAGAGGGCTCAATGTGAACTATTTTCTTGCAAGAACACAGATTCTTATGTCTGACTCATTACCTAATATGGACACTTCTATAGAGTCACACAGTTAGAAAGAAAAATGCTTACCAATGTTCAGCAGAACAGAACTCAAGAATCCATGGCCATGATTGCTCCAGCTTATTTTCAGCAACAAAATTCCCAAGTTGGCAATAGACCGGGTGGTAACAAATTTGGAAATAATCAGTTCAGCAACAATCAAATCAATGGTAATCAGTTCATGGGAAATTTCAATTTCAGGGGGCAGCAAAGACCCTACCACAGGCCTCCTTTCCGGGGTGATCGGGGTCAAGGAAATATCAACGGAAGGGCACCTAACAACTTTCCTGCAATGGGGAGACCTTTTTGCACTTATTGCAAGATGAATGGCCATACAATTGAGCAATGTTTCAAAAGAAATGGATGGCCACCTGGTTATGCACCTCGAGGAAGCTTCAATCCCAACCAGCAAGCTCAAGCACATTCAGTAGTTGCAGCTACACAAATCACACAAACTGATCTTCCACAGTCTTTGGCAGGTTTGAAACTAACTAAGGAACAGTATACTCAGCTGCAAGCTTTTGTCCAAGACACACCTTCCACTTCTCGGCCTACTTTGCCAATTCCACAGTATCACCCTACCACCTATTCTGCTGCTGCTTTCCTCTCTTCCACCCATAGTCCAGCAGGTATACAAACTCCCTCTTCTCTTTTCTCCAAGACATATATGCAACATGGCAGTAATTGGGTGCTTGACACTGGAGCCACAGATCACATGATCTGCAATCTAGCTCTTTTCACATCTTATAAGCCAATTTCCAACGTCACAGTAACACTTCCAACCGGCATCAAAGTGCCAGCAACCCACATAGGCATAGTTCATTTCTCACCTGATTTAACCCTTATCAATGTCTTGTTTGTTCCTGCTTTCACATTCAACTTAATCTCTGTCCACATACTGACAACTACTATGCCCATATCTCTCTCTTTCTTTTCCACTTATTGTCATCTCCAGGACCTACCTACGGGGAAGAGGATTGGTTTGGCTGAAGTTGAAAATGGGCTCTATCAAATGAAGCAGCAAGTTCCTGATACACCCATCAACCCTTCATGTACTGCTTTGTCTTCTCATTCTAAAGTGCCTAAACACTTCGATCTATGGCATTTTCGCTTAGGACACATGTCTCATTCCAAGGTTAACATTCTGAGTCATTTTGATCCTTCCATTTATACAAACTCAACACAACCTTGTGCTATATGTCATTTTGCAAAACAAAGGAAGCTACCTTTTGCCTTGAGTCAATCTGTAGCTGATGCTCCTTTTGCCTTAGTCCACATTGATATTTGGGGACCAAACTCTATCCCTTCTTATGATGGTTTCTCTTATTTTCTTACTCTTGTTGATGATTTTTCTTGTGTCACTTGATTGATGCTCATGAAATCAAAATCATAAACCCGTGGTCATATTGAAAGCTTCTGTGCATATGTTGAAACCCAATATCACACCAAAGTTAGGAGAATTAGAAGTGACAATGGCCAAGAGTTCAAAATGCACACCTTTTTTTGCTGATAAAGGCATTGTCCATGAAACCACTTGTGTTGAAACCCCTCAACAGAATAGTAGAGTCGAGAGAAAACACCAACATATCCTCTCCGTTGCTAGGGCTCTCAAGTTTCAAGCTGGTTTACCCCTGAGTTTTTGGAGTGATTGTGTTCGACATGTTGTCCATTTAATCAATCGTCTCCCCACACCTGTTCTTGACAACCAAACACCCTTTCAAAAACTTCATCTCAAGCCACCCAATTATCAGGAACTCACAGTCTTTTGTTGTTTGGTCTATGCCTCTACTTTACCTTCTCATCGCACAAAATTCACTTCTCGAGCTCGTGAATGCATCTTTTTATGTTATCCTTCTTACACTAAAGGCTACAAGCTTTATGATTTACATTCTGATTCAACATTTGTCTCTAGAGACATCATCTTTTATGAACATGTATTTCCCTTCCATTCTCTTCCTAACACAGACTCTGATTCCTGTAGGGATGATTCACCTCTTAATCCCTCTTCTTTTTTAAATTATGATGACCCACCAGTTCATCTTTCCCTTCCACATCCTACTTTTTCAACTTCCACACCTACTGTAACCGTTTCTGCTTCACCTAGTCCTCACCCTCCAGCCCCCTTTCCACTTTCCAGCCCTGTCCCGTATGAACATAATGATGATGATTTTGTTTCCAATGAACCATCTTCTCCCTACCTTCATCTTCCCCGAAAATCTGACCGTCTGCATCGTCCACCAAGCTATCTTGCATCATACCATCGTAGCTTGCTTTGCCAAGGTGAAACCAATCCTCTTCCACCACGGTCTATCTCCAACAAACAAGGTAAACATTATGATCTTCCCACTTTTCTTTCTTATGATTCCCTTTCTCCTACCTACCAGCATTTTGCCCTCTCTATTTCTTCTTCTCAAGACCCCATTTCATTCAAACAAGCCTCACAATACCCCTACTGGACAAAAGCAATGCAAGCTGAGTTATCTGCTCTTATACAGAATCAAACCTGGTCCATTGTTGATCTTCCTCCTGGAATTATCCCCATTGGTTGTAAGTGGGTTTATAGGACAAAATTTTGCTTTGATGGTAGTGTTGAGCGTTTCAAAGCGCGTTTGGTTGCCAAAGGTTACAGTCAACAGGAAGGTTTGGATTATACTGATACTTTCGTCCCAGTTGTGAAACTCACCACAGTTTGTGTCCTCTTGATGATTGATGCTATTCGTGGATGGCACATTCACCAACTTGATGTGAATAACGATTTTCTCCACGGTGACCTCCATGAAGAAGTTTATATGCAACTACCTCCGGGACTTGTCATCCCTTCTTCGGATCATCCCAAGGTTTGTCGTCTCCACAAATCTCTATACGGTTTGAAACAGGCTTCTCGCCAATTGTTTTCCAAGCTTTCTCAATCACTCATCCATCTTGGTTATCGGCAATGTCTCTCTAATCACTCTCTCTTCATCAAGCAAACTGCAACTTCCTTCACAACGATTCTCATTTATGTAGACGATCTTATTCTTGCTGGAGATGATCTTTCTGAAATTTCCTCTGTGAAACACCACTTGGATTCTCTCTTCCAAATCAAGGATTTCGGTGAGCTTCTTTACTTCCTGGGCATTGAAATTGCTCGCAGTCCAACTGGAATTCACTTGAATCAAAGGAAATATGCTCTCGAAATTCTCCACGAGCATGGTTTCCTTGACTGCAAACCTGTTCTCACTCCCATGGAACCAAAGACTCGCCTGATCGCCAACGACGGGTCAGATCCTGTTGATAGTTTTGCCTATCGATGCTTGATTGGTCAGTTGCTTTACCTCACAACCACCCGCCCCAACATCAGTTTCGCCACACAACAATTGAGCCAATTTCTAGACCAGCCTACTGTTACTCATTTGCGTGCAGCTCATCACCTTCTCCGATACATCAAGGCTGCTCCCAGCCAAGGTTTATTCTTCTCAGCTACATCTTCTCTCCAACTCCATGGTTTTGCAGATTCTGATTGGGCGGGCTGCCCAGACACCCGCCGTTCTGTATCTGGCTATTGTGTCTTCATCGGTTCCACTCTTGTGTCTTGGAGATCAAAAAAACATTTGACGGTCGCTCGTTCCTCGGCTAAGGCAGAATACCGCGCGATGGCTTTTGCGACTTGTGAGCTTCAATGGCTCCTTTATCTACTTCATGATTTGGGTATCTCTCATTCCCAAGCTGCTCTCTTGTATTGCGACAACAAATTCGCTATCCACATCGCCAAAAATCCAGTATTCCACGAAAGAACCAAGCATATCGAGCTCGATTGTCATTTGGTTCGTGAGAAGGTTCAGCGAGGTATCATCCGCACCTCTTACATTCCATCTTCCTCACAATTAGCTGATCTTTTCACTAAAGGCCTCGGTCCTGCTCCATTCTCACCACTTTGCTCCAAGCTTGGCTTGCACAATTTGTGCATCCCAGCTTGCCCGGGGGGGGGGGGGGGGGGTAATACAAGAAGATGCTTCTGGTTTCTCTTCCTCTGTACAAGAACAAAGTTCTACAGCAGCAACTTCTGTTCATCTCCCTTCCACTTTGGAAGACAATGATTTGGGCTCTTATTTCTCCGTGTTGGGCTCGTGGCTACTAGAAGGAAATCAGCCCAATACCAAATGTCAAGACAATACAAAATATTAGCTAGCCCACGTGTGTGTTTGAGTGTTGTTCATGCTTTCTTCTGTCCTTTTGTCTGCTGCACAGAGTCTGATTGTATAAATGAACACTCAAGATGAAAATGCAAGCCATGCTTTCCACTTCACTTTTTCTACTCGCATCAATTACTGTTAGGACAATTAATTAGTACCTCATATTTTTTTCCATGAGTGCCAGTTCCTTTCTTCGGATTGGGATTTAGCCCATGGACATCGGTTTCTAATGGGCGGGGCATTAGCTTTCTACTCCATTTTTTTGTTGTCTCCTCCCCATTGTGGGATGACTCCCTTTTTGTCTCTCTCTTCCTAATCAGATGGAACATGTAGTCATGTACTGGATAACTAAGAACCATGAAGGAAAAAAAAACATTCATTTTTTTCCAATTTGGAAATACCATAAATGGCGATGGAAATTGAAATATGATAAAATAAAGGTTATCAACTCAAAGGTCAATCTGTCGGTTGGTCCGTTTTAATCCTGACTAATGAAAAAATGGATAACACAAACTCACGGGTTAACCAGTTGAAGGTTGTCGGGTTGGAGGTCACACAACGTCGTTTTTTCCTTTGTTTTGCAAAATGCGTGTTTTTTTCAATTTTCCTTTTGGCCTAACCCTATCATTGGAAATACTGAGTCGAACATTTGAATATTGATATTATATAAGTGTGTGAATTTTCACTATATGTTGGGTCCAAGTACAATCTATTATTTTTGTGTAATATCATATGTTATTAATTATATATTAAATGAGATTGGTATAATTTATAAATATATAAATAATATAATAACTTTTTTTCATATATAAGGACTAAAACGCCCGGATCATTAATTCTCAATACACATGCTCAACCAACGGGCTACATAGGGTTGATAACATTGGTCATGAAATGGCCTGCAACCTGCAATAGATTTATATATCACTCTAAGAAACCATTGTAAAGAGAATAATACTAATTAGGATTTATTTTCATTAATTTTGGTTAGAATAGTTGGATCGGATTTATTGTCATTAATTTTGCATATGAGTTAGGTGTAATCACTCATGCAGCGGCAAAGCGCAAATAACTTCTAGCGGATACCGTGACAACCCTTTAAGGGGTTGTCAGATTCACAACTCATTTCCTAGCCCTTGGATACGCTCTCTCTCCTATCTCTTTTTTCTCTTTTTCAAATTGACGGTTAAGATTAAAGAAAGGAAAAAAAATTTACCACACCTAATCATTCACCCTCCCATATAAATATAAAAAATCCTAACTCCTCCGTCTCTCCTGCAGACGACAATTTCGCAGCCGAGCTCCGTCGTTGCTGCCGCTGCCCTCCACCCCTGTCGCGCCCTCTGCCACCCTCTACCCCTGTCCGGCTCTCACTAATGTCGCAACCCTCCCGCCGCCCCATTGCAACCTCCGCCTCCCACCACCATGGCGCCATCACCCTCTCCCCATCGCAGCCCTCCGTCTCCCACCATCGCAGCCGTTGCGAGGTCACCGCCTCTCCCTTTTCTCATCCGCCTACTTTTTTTTCCAGATCTGTGATTTTCTTAATTCTAGATATTGATTTTTGTGTTAGTCTCTAATGTTAGCGTTACCAATGATAGTGTTACGCTACCAGTAAATATGTTTTAATAAGAAATATGTTTACTGTTGACTAACCATTTGACTAACTCACCTTTACAGCCCGCAACAAAGTCAAACGAAGAAAAGATGGTTGGCTGCCCCTTAAATAAAATTGACAAAAGAAGCATAGAAAAACTACTATATGGCGCCATTCACTTTTCATGTTTATATGGTCACTTCCTCTGGCATTTAACAAACTAATCCACCGCTATCATTTCTATTACTTTATCCAACGGCCGTTACGCCTCACAGATTACCAGAACACCATCCATACCACATCAATAAATGATATTTATCTAAAACTAAGTAGACTCGTTGATTATGAATATGGTATGAGTGACGTATATATTTAGTTTGTTTTGTATCTTGTAAATGTACTAAATGAGTTTATAAAATCGCTCTTGCAATATTTTAGATTCGTCTCTCTTTTATCATTTATTTAATGTTTCACGTTATGAGAAAATATAAAATTGTTGAATATTCTTCTACATTTGAGTGGCACAACATCTTGTATTATATAGACTAAATTTATACTTTTATGTTCTGGTGGATTGGATTCATGGATTGGTTCAAAAGAATGGGTGGATTCAAATGAAATCTAAACATTGGATCAATATGTAAATTTTAAAAATTGTAGGTAAGAAAATCTCATAAAATTTAGATTCCAAAACATAATTGTTCATTGATTTTACGTTAAAATTAAATTTGGGGTATCAAAATGTAAAATGTAAATTATAGTGACTAAGTTGTGATTTAATTAAATTTGAGGTATTAGGTACGAAAATCTCATAAAATTTAGATAATTATACATTTAAATTAAATTTTGGGTATCTAAATGTAAAATATAATTAAGTTGTGATTTAATTAAATTTGTGGTATCAAAATGTAATTCATTACGCAACAGTAACCCAACTTCAAGTTTATATATATATATTGATATGTATGTCATTGGCGGTAAAAAAAAGGTTGATTTTGCACATGTTAATTCTTGGCATAGTTAACGCAAGCATAAACCATAAAATATCAAACCTGAAACTCTTCTCTGCAAACAGCAACATCTAAAGTGCGTTCTTTTTATTAATTTTGGAAGAAAATTTTGTTTCTTCCGACGCACATACATGAGACAGTTGAAGCTTTTAATAGAAAAGAGCATATATAGTTGGAAGAACCTACTCGATTTTGTTCGGTTTACGGAGTCACCTGTTGATCATAGTGCACACTTTAACTAACAAACCTATGCGGAAATTGCAGACTTGTTTTCCTTTTGTAACTTCTGTTTAAAATTAATAAGGCTGTATCACCATTACCAAATCGAATAAAAAACATAAACATTTGCCAATTGGCTTCATAGTACTCTACGAATATGCAGAGACTTTTAATCCAAATAGGAGAACTCCGCCAAGTTATCCATGAACATGTTACATTCTTCCCCTTGGTTGACTTTACCGGTGCTCCATTCTCTTCCACTATATAATGTCCAAGCATAAATTACTTTCAGAAGAAAAGCTGTCAATATACCAACAGGGACGACAAAGTGTTCTTGGCTTTGCGGATAAGCAATTAAGCTTGGTAGATAAAGGATAGTAACATAGTTAAAGCAGGGGAAATGATTCTAATTTAATTGTCCCAGCGGCTCAACTAAATCCCATTAGAATATGTTGGTAGGCAACTCTGATATAGATTGTAGGAGGATAAATATTGCAGCTAAAATCCCAAAGATAACATATGAGTAGCTTGAATTAATATGTAACTAGGTAGTATTGGCCGAGCTCCGCGGCCTCCTGAGATTGCTCTTGGGACCATTATCCATTATCCCGTAGATAGAAGTCTGGAGCTCGAACATCTTATGATTATGATTAGCTGACAAAATACCGATAAAAGAATGCATGTATCTGTTGGGAATGAATAGCTTTGAAAGCTATATAGAGCGACCTAGTCCGCGACTCAGCCAGATTCGGTAACCCTAATTTTTCCTGTTCGATTTCTAACAGTATCCGATGTAGCTAGTAAAGGGCCTCCACTATTTCAAAAGATCAACTACTGAACTCATACCTGTCTAGTGGCAAATAAGAACAATGTGGATAAATTTATAACCAAGCATCCCACAATCGTGCTCTATAACCTTGGAACTGCAATTTAATTTTGGTGTAAGAAAGGAATGGGTAAGCATCTACCATTGTAAGCAAAACTTCTAATAAAGCAGTGCAAGAATAGATTATAATGTAGACTCTTGTCCCCCTAGCGATGTGTTCCAAACATGGAGATTTCAAGGAAACCTTTAATGGATATATAACTCAAATCAAATTCCATCTGCATCTCCTCTGTCACACTCCACTACTACTGCCAACCTTCTCAAGCATGCCACTGGTTGCTACTTTATTTTTGTGCATATGGTAAGGTAATCGTTGCTTGCCCCGGAGTTTGGAGCCAAATTCAAGTACTTGGTGGTCTAATAAGCCCAAGCCTCTCCTCTTTGAATCCACCTAACCATCCAATCAATCGATAAACAAAACTTAGACTATACATGTCTGTAACTTAAATTAACCGCAATTCAATATAATCTAGCAAATGTATTTTTTAATATATTCGGACTAAATAACTACAAAGCAATCGAATCATTGATACTCAATACACTAATTCAACCGGGACAATGGGTTGAAGCTTGATTATCCAAATTCCATGATTTAGCACCGTGAAGACCTGAGGAAGAGTTGGCTCATGGCTGTGAGCTAGGGAAAGTAACGGTAGCATAAGTTAGCAAATCTCTTATGCTACAGTAACTTCCTTCTCACTTTAATTATATTTAAGAATTCGGACTAAATAACTACAAAGCAATCGAATCATTAATACTCAATACACTAATTCAACCGGGACAATGGGTTGAAGCTTGATTATCCAAATTCCATAATTTAGCACCGTGAAGACCTGAGGAAGAGTTGGCTCATGGCTGTGAGCTAGGGAAAGTAACGGTAGCATAAGTTAGCAAATCTCTTATGCTAAAGTATCTTCCTTCTCACTTTAATTATAGGGTTAATACCTTAGTTTGACCCGAACTATAGGCAAACTTTCTACTTTGGCCCATGGTATCGGAAATTGCTATTCTGGCCTAAACTATGTAGCATACTTTCTTATTTGGCCTGGAGGCGGGTTTGACCGTCAAATTAAACAGTCAACCGAGTTGACCGTTAGTCAAAGTCCACCTCACTTGCCACGTCAGCTATCAAGGAATAATTTTTTTTTTTTTTGAGTTTTGTTTACTTTCTAAAATTAATTAAAAATAATTTGAGGAGCTTTTTTAATTAATTTTTTTTTCATTTATTATTTTTATTATTAGAAAGTAAAAAAATTCGAAAATTCAAAAATAATTTTTTATTCCCTAATAGCTGATGTGGCAAGTGAGGTGGACCTTGACTAACGGTCAACTCGGTTGACCGTCTAATTTGACGGTCAAACCCGCCTCCGGGCCAAATAAGAAAGTATGCTACATAGTTTAGGCTAGAATAGCAATTTCCGATACCACGAGCCAAAGTAAAAAGTTTGTCTATAGTTCGGGTCAAACTAAGGTATTAACCCTTAATTATATTTAAGATAGTTGCAACAACTAAATCTTTGCGTGCAGTGGTCAAATAAAGTAATAATGAGTAAAGCAAAAAACATACAACCTTTATGCCACTATCACTAATTGGAACATACCAGAAAGAAGAATTGGAAGATTGTGATATGTGGCATCTGAAACCCCAAAAAGCACAACAAAAATTCATTTAACGACAATGAAGCCAAATAATGTAAACAAGCAAGTTTATTGCAAGTTTTGAGAAAGGAATTCTGAAGGTTCGCCTTGAACACCCACTGTTTGCAGCCATTGACACGATGATGAAAATCTGTAGCCCAAATCATTAGTAGCAACATTGCATTCAAGCATGGAGCACTGTATCTTTGCCTCCACACTTCAGACATTCTTTACAATGTTTAGCCTTATATAACCCTACTTTCTGGGAAAAAAATCCCAGAATACTCGAGTTACTAAAAAAATTTGCCTAAATACAGTACTTATAAAACTAATTCCCAAAGTACAGCAGTTTCAACATCACTGTCTTGGACAAAGACAATGATACTAATCACCGCTTTTGTCCAAAACAGTGAAGCAGCGGGGAACGTATCACCGCCTCGGACAAAGGCGGGAAACCTATCACCGCCTCAGACAAAGGCGGGGAACGTATCCCCGCTTTTGACATCAACAGGGAAGGCATCCCCGCTGCAGTCAACAACAGTGATTGCCTCACCGCTGTTGTGCAAAACGGTGATATTTACCACGTTTTACAGAGCCCTGGTAGGTGGAGAAGTAGGTAACAGCTACCTAGCTATCACCGCTGTTGACTAAGGCGATGATGAGTTCACCGCCCTTGTCCAAAGCGGTGATTAGCTTTCATTTTTTTCTATAAAACCTACGCCCACTTCCCTCCTGCTGCCTTACAGCAAATCAGTACAAAAATTATCGTTTTGTTAAGTCGTTTTCGCAGCTGGTTCCTCCGTAGTTTACTGCTCAAGAAACTCGTCGGGATTCGGTATGTTAGAATTATGTATTGTTTACATTTTGATGATGTGTTAGAATTAGGTATGTTAGAATTATATATTTAGATTGATTATGATATGATAGATGTTAGTTAGTTAGTACTGAATTTAAATTAATTTGTTTAGTTTTCTCATGATAGATCGGGATTGAGTATGTTATAAGTATGTATTTCTTACATGTTGATGTGTTAGTAATTATATGTCTGTATTTAGTGAATTGCGGTTGTTGGAAAATATGTTATGATATATTTAGATTAATTATGATATGATAGATGTTAGTTAGTTAGTTATGAATTTAGATGAATTTGTTTAGTTTTCTCATAATAGATCAATTAGTTGCATTTTATTATCGCTTTGGATGATATTGTTTTTGTATCCATAATGTACTAATTATATACTATACTTAATTATTATAAATTGCAGACATGGGTAAATTTAAGAAGTTTCGGCTTATTATTTATTGGAATGGTCGGGTGACAAACTCGAACATTGGGATCGACTATGAAAATGGCGAATCCAGTATGCTTACAATTGAGTCGAGATTCTCGTGGCAAGAACTCCATGACAGGTGTGCAGAAAGGACTTGTACGGGCGGGCAAAGGAGAGTTCGTCAAATTAGTTACCGGTATCCCAACATGAGTGCTGACGGAGTCATGTACGAAAAAGTTGACATAAATGATGATGACGACGCGAACATGATGATACAGTTCATATCTGAGAACAGGGTGCGGCTTGCAGAGGTGTATGTCGAGACCGAGCCGGTCGGTGAAACTCATTCTCACCAGTATTCTTATGATGATGGTTTTTGCAGGAGGGTATGGCTGGGGTGGTAGTTCAAGTAACTACGGAGGAGGTACTTCTGCAGGAGGGTATGGTTGGGGAGGTACTTCAAGCAACTACGGAGGAGGTGTTGGGTGGGAAGAATACCCGCAACATGGTGAGACTGCCGTCGATATCGTTCAGCCCGACGGTGATCAATGGCCTGCTTGGGGTCCAGAGTGGGCTGACATTGAAAACACCCGTCGATCTGGGCGTACTTCGCATGGCCAAGAAGACGATTCTGGTTATGCTGGTAACGATGACCATCCTGAGCCGAGATATCCATTCGCCTTCGGTGACGATGAAAGTGAGGAAGATTTGAGATCAGTCAGTGAGGAGGAAGATACGGAAGATATCGACGATATCGATGACAGTGAGGTGGCGTTCCGTCAGGCACCAACGCCTTACTACACAGAGGTTCCTGATCAATTTTTATATGGTCAGAACGATGCCCCTGACTTTCGGCCCATGCCTGTGTATAATCCGACTGCTAATTTGGAAGTGGGTATGGCGTTCACTTCGAAAGCCGATGTGCAAGACGCTTTTAGCGAAGAAGCCATGCGGCGTAACTTCGAATGGAAGGTAAAATATTCTGACAAGGGACAACTGCATGTCATTTGTAAGAATGCTGGAGAGGGTTGTATGTGGCAACTTCGTGCTGCATATATGAAGAGAAAGGGCGTCTGGGTCATGCGGACAGTAGAGAACAACCACAGTTGCTCCTCACCCATACTTTCACAGGATCACCGGCAACTGAAAGCAAAAAAAGTGGCAAGAACCATTAAGCACCTTATCGAGGCACAACCAGATATCAAGATAAAAGCTATCATGGCGGAGGTGAAGGATCGACACTCCTACACCATAAGGTATAAGAAGGCATGGCATGGGAAGCAGAAGGCCATGGCTGAGGTCTACGGTGATTGGGATGACTCGTATGCTTTACTCCCCAGACTAATGTCCGCAATGGAGGAGTCCAACCCTGGGACGGTTTTCGTGCCTTGGTACAACAACGTAGAAACTGAAGATCAAGTTCGAGTACAGAACGAGTTGATGTTTCATCGTCTGTTCTGGACATTCAAGCCATGCATTGACGGGTTTCCCTTCTGCATGCCAGTGATTCAGGTATATTACGGACTCAAAATATTGTACTATTTCATTACTTTACTAATTTCAATTTTTACTAACTCATTATTCATTTTAACAGGTTGATGGAACTTTCCTTACTGGGAAGTATAAAGGAACTCTTCTTATTGCCACTGGGGTTGATGGAAATTTAAGTATTTTTCCCTTAGCATTTGCATTAGTTGAAGGGGAGAACAACCTAAGTTGGGCATGGTTCTTTGACTAGCTACACGACCACGTCACACAAAGAATGGGTATTACAATTATATCAGATCGACATGCCGGGATTAAACACGCCGTCCGTGGTTTCCCGGACGAATGGGGATGGACATGGCGTTGGTGTATTCGTCACTTCCTAGCCAATTTCCAACACAAATTTGGCAAGAAGAAAGACATAAGAGATCAATTGTGGAGTGCAGGTAGTAATGTAATTCAGTGCTTGTTCATGGTTTATTGTTCAAATGAAATTTCTTATGGCTTAATTATTAATTCTTCGATTTTGTAGCGGTTGCACATCAACCAAAAAAGTACGAGCAGAAGATGAAGACGATCCGTCAAATACACCGGGCGGGAGCAGTATGGGCAGAAGGTCAAGATCTGCACATGTGGACATTTCACATGGACAACGGGGCTAGATTTGGAATTGCAACTACCAACCATGGCGAGAGCATAAATGGAGTCTACAAGGGCATTAGGGCAATGCCTGTATCTGTCCTAGTGGAGATGACATACTGGAAGGTAAACGAGTGGTTTGTGAAGAGACGGAATGCTGCTATAGGGAGGGAGCGTGCTGGTCATTCAATAGCTAAGCATATATTTGATGGCATGCAGAAGATCGAAGAGAAATCAAGTAAGCACAGAGTTGTTCTGTTCAACCGCAATGAAGGTATTTTTGCTGTGCAAACAGGTATTTGGGGTGGAGGAAGACGTGGGCATAATCGTCAATCCGTTACTCTACACGTAGAAACGCGCACCGGAGAGTGTACATGCCAAAAGTATCAAAACAGAAGAGTACCTTGTTCACATGCAATGGCAGTAGCTAAGTCGATAACCCTCAGCGCTTACAGTTTGGTTAGTCCTTACTACACGGAACAGGCGATCAGGAACTCCTACTCGTCAAGTTTTAGCCCCCTTCCGGATGAAGCTTATTGGCCTGTAGACAATGGGAAGTTGATTATCCCACCGTTGCACTTAAAGCACACCAAAGGTCGTCCTAGGACCGAAAGGATTCACAATGAAATGGACCAATCACAACGTGCCCGACGGGGTCCAAAGCGTTGCTCAAAGTGCAGACAACCGGGTCATGACAAGAGGCGTTGCCCAGGTCCACCTCTAGAGCAAGATTCGGGGCCAATTCCGAACCAACCTTGATGCTGTTGTTGTTCACTTCCTTGTTTTAATCTTGTCGAGTAGTTTTCGTTGTTGTGATGTTTAAGTTGGACTTCCTTGTTTTAATCTTGTTGAGTAATTTTCGTTGTTGTGATGTTTAATTTGGACTTCTTGTTTTAATCTTGTTGAGTGATTGTAATAAAGGGCGTTTGTTGTTCATTTTGGTACAACATGGGGGGTAAAACCAACCAAATTTAGATGACATAGATAGTTCATGGAAAACAACACAATCCGAAACCAAATTTAGAAACATAGGTAGTTCATGGAAAACAACACAATCCGAAACCAAATTTAGAAACATAGGTAGTTCATGGAAAACAACACAAGACCCAAACCAAATTTAGACGACATGGATAGTTCATGGAAAACAACACAAGACCAAACTAAATTAGAACGACATAGATAGTTCACTGGTTGTCTTCATTTCCCTCCATTTCCCCTTCTCTTCCTCATCCTCTTCCTCCACGACCTCCTCGGCCCCTTCTTCCGCCCTCTCTACCTCCTCCTTCTTCACGAGCCCGCTGGACAACTGCGCCCGGATTCCTCTTAACCCGACCACCCACCTGAGTGTAGACAGGTGGTGGGGGTGGAGGTTGCTGAGATGGACCAGAAGCGTGGTAGAAAGTCGATGATGTATGTTGTTGTTGCGGGGTCTGATACTGAATAGTTTGTTGCTGATGGTGGAAGTGAGGGGTGCCTTGGGTGAACATGTCATGTTCCTGAGTCGGGGCATAGCTTGACGACCCTCCGGTGCCCTCAGTACTAGTAGCCCACTCACAATGTGGCCATGGTTCAGGAAGTTGAGTTTGTTGAGACGGACGAAGCTCTTCAATGTTTTCTCTCACCCTTCTTCTGCTCCTCCGTGGGGGCTCTTGTGGAGGCACGATCCTCTCATCAGCACGGAATGAAGGTCGGGCCGGAGCAGGCACTGGAGGGTATAATATGACATCCCTCCTTTGCTCTCTGGTACAACAAAGCAGGTTGTTGAAAAGCCTGCGCAAAAAAGATGTCTTTCGCTCATCCATGGTGGGTGCACTCTCGACAGTGTGCTTCGCATGCTCCAAACCGTCAACCTAATAAATTGTTGTACAAAATTAACTAACATTAAATCTAAGAATAATCCTCAAATCTAATAATGATCCTCAAAATCTAATAATCATACTACAAAAATTAAAACAAAGAGGCCAAAATGGAATTCACTTACCACTGCGCCCCAAACAGCACCTTGCTTTGACACCCATCTTAGGGTGAAGTTCTGATACCACCGCATGTAGCCATCGTGGTACCCCATTGGCCTTGTCTCCGGCGCCCCTTGGACCACCCACTGATTTCTATTCTCCCATATGTTGATGTAGAATTCATGCTTGCGGGTCCAATCCTTTTTGTTGTAGCGTAGGTCAATGGCGTGGAGCTCCCTGAACCCTTGAGGTGGGGATGCTGGAATTGGTTGCTCCAATCGATATTGCCTCAAAGATCGATCGGGCAGGTGCCACTCCACCATGTGCCAGCAGATTAAGGGCACCTTGCACAACCATGTCTCTTGATCCTCGGGATGTCTAAGACGATGCAACTCAACCACCTCATTTGGATATGGATCCCATACCGCCTACAATCATTATAATTCATGGAATTAGTAAAAATTATATCCACTCCACCTAATAAATTGAAAATCATGACATTTTATATTTTTACCTGGTTCCACCAAGGCTTATCAAATTCAGCACGATAAAACAGTAAAGAGTGCTCGGGCTGGTGGTCGTTTGTATTTGCTCCGATCCACCTAATTAAGCAAAAGTACATATATAAGCCATTTTTAAAGCAGAGATGTTTACTTGTTAAGTATGATTGTATGGAAGCATCTAAATTGAAATAAAATTCCTTACTTGGTAATAATATAAATTAGCTAAATACGATTTGGTTAGAATAAATCCAAATTCGCTTACTTGGAAGATATCTAAATTCACTAAAATACTATAATTACAGACTTAAAATGTCTCTAAATTCGCTTAGTTGGAAGATAGCTAAGTGACTCACTCCTACTATCACTCTAGAAATTGGCCAAGTGTAACCACTTCCTAAAGCGTAGTATAGCGGGTTTGGGTTTTAATGTCAACCCGGGTCCTAGATGTGATGACTACTCAGTGAATTCGTATTATCTAGCAATAAAACTTTAGTGAAGGTCTAAACTACCAAGCAAACAAAGCAACTAAACGGTTGTTTTCAGGTTAAGAGAGGTCACTCGGATATGGTTCCCCCTAGACTGCAGTTAGGCCGGATTGTAATTACCAAGTTCAATTTCTATGAAAGTTATACTGCGGAAGGTTCTCAAACAGTCTGAAGTCTCAACTAAAAGTCTTCAGACCCTCTCAATCTGAGTCTCTAGTGGGCGACTAACCTCCACCGGAGTAAACAGATTGAGGCCCTATGAACAAAACCTCCACTACCGAATTGAATTCGGTACAGAATAGTGAATTGGCTCCTCGACTAAAGTCACCAATTCACTACCTTCAATTAAGGATACTATATTAACCTAGGCAGATATTCTCATTCTAGGTTAAAGCAGAAACAACAGGAATTTGATCAGGATTCATGCCATTCAATCATTCAAACCTCAATCGAATATAATCAATTCATAGAATAGTACTTGGGTTCATACAATCAATCCTAACATACAGATCTAGGGTTCTCCATACCCAGATGAATGGGAGAACTACTCCATGTAGAAAGAAGCAAAAGCAGAATCAGACGCGGAAATCATACTGTGAAGATGGATTTCTGCTCCTGGACGTTGAATCGGCACTTCTCCAAGCTCAAGCCAAGCTCCAATGGTGTTGAAGATCAAGCTAGGGCACTTGGAGACTCTTGTTCGTCGCTTTCTCTCTCTAGGAATTGCTCTGTCTCTCTAAAACTCGAATCCCCTTCTCTTTGGCTGAAAATCTGCTTAAAAGGGCATTAGTGGCCAAAGCACGGTCGAGGGCACGGCCGTGTAATGCCTCAGCCCGCCCGTGCTTTGGCTAGGGTTAATTACACCGCCATGTGTTGGGAGAAACACGGCCGTGCTTTAGGGAGGACACGGCCGTGCTTTCAGCCCGTGTTTTCAGCTCGAGTTGGCCAAACTCAAATCAGCTCTCGGCAGTAAAAGCACGGCCAAAGAACACGGCCGTGTTCTGAAGGCCTCCTGCCCGTGTTTTCACTGCCGAACCTGTTCCCCTATATTCAATGCTTCGTTTCTCCCTCGTCCGGACTCCGAATCAGTCGCCGTTTGATCCCAGACGCTCGTAGTCTCGTCCTCTTTCTTTTCACGACAGACTTGCACGATTCTTTGTCCATAAAGTGAGGTAAAAATCCATTCTTCTTCAGGTCATGCCTGAGTTTCTTCTCCCGAATCGCCAATTGATCTCTGATTGACTTGAAACTTGCGCCTATGCTTCACTTTATGTGCTAGGACCTGAAATGTAACAAAGGAACACAACCTAGCGTAAAATAGGCCAAAGAAGCAATAATGCAAGCTTAAACGATCAAGAAACAAAGGGGAAAAACATGTGCAAATATCGAGTCATCAAATCCCCCCACACTTAACCGTTTGCTTGTCCCCAAGCAAACCTAACTCAAACCAATGCAACTCTCCAGACCTCTATAGCAACAAACAACCTCGATCGTAGGTAGCGGACTTCCTAGATCATTTAGCAGCTTACGAGGTCAACCGACGCACAAGTCATCTCATAGCCTCTTCGGCGAGAACACTAGTCTCGAGTCGGCATCATGGCAAATAGTGAACAGAGGACAAATGAATCGTGGATGAAGAGACTCTCAAAAACAAAAGATCATGGACTCACATTTTTCAAGATGCTCGATTTTCTTCTTGAAGATGGTTGGAACCCCTTTTCTTTCTTCTTTTTGCTTGTTTTTATGTTTTTCTCTTTTTTTTCAAGGGTTCCAACCTGTTTTTTGCAAAAAACGGGGGCTCCCACCTAACAAAGGTTTTGCGGGAGCCCGGCTCTTACCGGCCATGCCAGGAGCAGTTGTCTCGATCCTCGTGCGGGGGAAAGACATGTAAGGGGGCTGGAGGTAGTAGGTGGAAATTGGGAACGGATTCCCGTCTCCCCTTACACACTTTCGCCCTATTCGCACGGGAGACGTCATTTTAAAGCACATTTTCGAGCACCTGTTATTTTCAAAACATGATACAAGAGTCCATGACAGGCAGAGAGTCCACAACACCACACAATTCAAGGGTCCTAAGATCACTAATTCACTCAATCAACCAACACAATATGAAGAAGAATTGAGACGTCTTAAATGCATCAACATCCTCCATAGTGCTACACTACCTCCCTAGGTTGCAAATCACTACAGAGACTGTCAATTCAAAGCATACTGAGCAGGTAATTGCAAGGAACACGTACTTGGAGCCCTCAAATTTAAAAATTTGGACAGTGGACTTGGCTCCAAGCACACAAACA